CACACACACACACACACACACACACACACACACACACACGCGAAAAGCGATGACAAAGGACGTACAATAGAGGCGGACATTTAAGATCAATGAACCGGTTTCAGAGGGAGAAGGATGTGTGGACAATGGACATCATGACAGAGGGACAATCAGAGGACATCAGGAGTGTCATCTCTGACAAGCAAATCTTTAACATTTGAAAAAGAGATTCTATGACTGTCTCTGCAGGGGGACATTACTGCTGTCACTTCTGCGACAGAGCAACAAACGTGCTTCTGTGGTTCAAAGAGTTTTAAGGATTCTGGGCTCTGGCCTGATGCTGACGTCAACAACACTAGAAGCCACTGAACATCTGTGTTGTCATCACACCACATCTCTACTCAGGAAAAATGAAGAGGATATAAAAGCAGCGCCAAGCGTCGGGTCTGCTGGCCCTCTGCCTGGACTACTGGACAGACAGGAGGAATGAGAGAAGGACGAAGACGGAGAGGAAACCAGAAATGGTTGGTGTACTCACTGGTCAGCGCCTTCTCGTAGCTTTTTCCCATGGCTATGAAGTTCCGCAAGCAGGGGTTGAACTGCTCCATGATGGACTGGAAAAAGGGTGGGAAAAAACAGCACGTTTGGTTAGTCAAGTAGCAGAAAAGACACGGATACAAACACTGATATGAGCTAAAATGAGGCGCACCACTCTTTACTGGGGCATGAACACACACACACACGGACGTACACACAGCAGAGTCAGCTGAGCCAACCAGGAGGAAGAGGAGTGAAGCAGGGATTCAATTCAAGCTCATGGCGAGGACTGGACGGGTGAAATATAAGGGAAATAATGAGAAAGAGAGAGTCTCAGGGAGGGGGGGGGCTTGTGTGTGTATGTTGTGGTATGTGTGTGTTTGTTGTTGGGGTGGGGGGGGGGGGGGGGGGGGGACTGTTTTCTCTCACTCCCCTGCTGTCTGTATTAAAATAAAACCTGGTTTTGGCTGCTGACTCACCTCGGCTCAGCAGCAGACCTGGACCCATCACGGTTTCCTGCCGTGTCCCTAACACTCTGAACTCTGGCACACTGCTAATTGATTTTTTTTTTTCCTTCCAAGGATCAGATCAACTGACATAAATAAAACCCATTTTCTCACTCATCTCCGGTGGCATCTATCCACGGTGCCATCAAATCTCAGAGGCAGATATCTGAAAACGTGACATAAAACCAAAAATATCCGCATGGCGAGATACAACTCGAGCTAAGTGTTGCAACCAACACCATAAAGCTCCATGTGATCATTTGGCACCAAAGCGACATCCTGGTCAGGTCCGAATATACTTCAGCTGCACGAAACAAGGTCATATTATCTAGAGCTTATGGATAAAGGTGGATCAAGATACGCATGCAGAAACGTAACCACATTGTTTGTTTTTTTGTCATTTGAAAGCAGCTCTTTCTCAGCCAGTAATCAGAACAGACAATTCTGAATAGTGGTTGACCAATAAACGAATGTCTACAGGTCAGGCTTCAGCACTAACTTTTGACGTGGCTTCAGCATTTGGTTGCCAAAGCTTAAAATACGGTTGCCATTTTTAGTCCCCTTATATTGTGAGTAAATGCAGATGTAAATCAGCTGAATAATGAACATGTGTATACATGTCAGGTGTATGTTCATGCTTTGCAGTATCATTTTCTGTATAGATTTGGGGATACTTCGCCTCCACAGACTTTACAGATTTCCTGTTGGTTTGTTTTTTCTGGTTCTTTGTCAGTTGAATCAATTTGCACATTTGTTTGTGGAGTGAGAAGTTGCACTAACCCGTCAACATCACAGTCAAACAACAGTCCTTTGCTTCACCACTGTCTCTAAAACAGAGTAAACACAACGCAGGTGAAGGGCTGGTTCTGGTTCCGGTTCTGACTGCGACAGCATTTATCAGTAAAACTTTTAATCGTACATAAATAACAAAGACATAAACAAAGCTTTCCCTGGCGCTGGCTCAGTGAAATACTATAAGACTATAAGATGTCAACATGACATCGATCGCGCCAATTCAAATCAGTCTACCAGTAATACTGAGCGGTCTCAAGTCTTCCTGCAGGTTTCAGCTTCACCACTGATATAAACTGTGAAAACAGAGAGGAGGAATAACTCAACCTCCAATAACAGCAAAGAGCACAAAGACAGATGATGCCATTGGATGATTTTGGTGATCAGTCAGCAAACACGAGATGTGACTTTGTGTCTTGCATGATCCAGTTCTGGGCGATCAGAACAACTCAAAAAAGGCCTGAGCCCTCGTTAACGGCTGAAGGAAAAGTCACAAAGAAATACATAATGAGTTTTATCGGCTCTGCAGTGACTCAACCTCCCCCTCAGTCCAAGCTGCCCTTTCACTTCTGTTGGATCTCCGGCAAAACCCAGCAATTTAACACCCAGCCTTCTCTTTCTTTGACTTTCTTTTATAACTTTGAAATGGCAGCAAAGGATGGAGGCAGAGAGGTAAAGGGAAGGAGGGAAGGAGGGACGAGGGGAAGACTCACAAGCAGCCTTTGAATGATCAAGACCTGGTCACACATTCAGTACTAGTTCAGTTAAAGTCCAAACAGGTTACTTTATAGCTTGGAATTGTAGAAGAGTAAAGTTGACAGAGAGCACAGAAGAATGGGCATAAGGCGGGGGGGGACAAGGGTACATTTGAGGTTGACAGACATCTTTTTTGTGGCTGCTCGCTACGAGGGACGCCTGCTAATGCCCGCCGGCTGACGCACAACAGTCACCTTGGTGCACAAACTTCTCCATGACTTCAAAAAAGGGAAGTAGAGCAGCACGACGCAGGGGTGCAAGGAAAATTAGGCTGACTGCCCGGTGAATGTAGAGAGAGAACAGCTTCAAGGTGCTTAAATCAGGTGGAAGAAGAGGAGTGGGCCTTGTGCTGATAATCAATACATCATGAGTGGAAACGGATCTTGATCTATGTGAAGATTTCTGGATGGAAACTTCTGATGGAAACTACTGGTTGTACTTCTGATCAAAAGCACTCGTGCTATAGATTCTTGAAGAACATTTTTCTAACATTGCTACAACATCTGATGTCATAATCACACACACACACAAACATGAAAAAGAGAAAACGAGGTTAGCGCCGTCTCTTTGTGGAGTTCTGGGTACAAACAAACCTATTCATACCCAGATTCCCTCTCGCCCCTCTTTGCTATCCTTGGGTGTATTTTCTGTTACGTAAGGCATCGGCTGCCGAACAAACCGAGTGAGTGGAAGCGCTCCAGCAGCGGTAATCATCGCCGCGGCTGCACCACCGCCTGGCAGGAAGAAAGGCACGCTCTACAAAAGAATAAATAGAGGATGGAGAGCGGCCCAGTTCTCATGTCTAAATCAACAGACGCACAGAGGAATCTCTCTGCGTTTGCGAGTGTTTTCATGCCAGTGACTGAGCGATGATGAGATGTCTTATGTAATCTCACTGTCGGACAGGTTTGGCCTCACGCCTCGCATTCTTCTGCTGAAGCGGTGTGGCTGTTGTTAACATACCTCCAGTGTTTCTGATACCGACTAAACATACTTCCGGTTTACCAGTCGGAAGAAGTGCATACAACACAACAACCTCTTTTTAATTCAATAAAGTAAGCTTAAGTCCTCCAACCATTGTGACTGATGTGTTAACCCCGGCTATGGAAAACACTGGCGACACCTCACCCAACGAAATCAACAGGACTTGGTGGAGGGAAAGAAGAGGTTCTTTATTTTGAACAACTACTTAATGAAATAGTTGTGATATTGCTATTGCTTGTTACTGATATTATTGAGGCACTTTGGGTGCATTTTTGCATGAAATGTGATATACAAGTAGCGTAATTGTATGGAAACAAACGTGGTCGCTGTCTAGCAGAGAGTTAACATGAGAAGGAGATCAATACCTTTCTCATGTCTCACGCTAAATATGAAGCTGGAGCCGGCAGCAGATTAGCTTAGCATAAATACTGGAATTAAGGGGAAACAGCTAGTCTGGCTCCGTCCAAAGTTCAAGCTCACGAAATATCTTGTTTGTTCAATTTGTACACAGACAAACATTTAAACATTAAAATAGAAAAACTATTTCCTAGAGACAAGCAGCTGAGCTTCACAAGCAAAGCTGCACATTTAGTGCACAGCCTACAGACTCATTTGTGTGGAAAATCTTGCCGCAGAGACGCGCCGCCATAAAATGTGAAGAAGTTTGATTGGACTTCAGAACCAGGAGGTGGGATTTCATCACACCTGTAACAGGAAGCATCGGCCCGTTTGAGGGACAGTTTTGCGGTTCCAAATCATGAGACAATGATGTGCTATACGCAATCTGCAGCAGTGCTTTATTTATAGTCGTCCAAGTATTAATCAGGCATTATGGAGCAGAGAAAGCTCATTGCACCGGTTTAAAACTCTTAACCTTTTTCAAACCCAGTTAAGTCGGTACTGGTAATGTACAACTCTGCCACACACACACACACACACACACACACACACACACACACACACACACACACAATGTTAGCAGCGAATAATATCTTGAGTAGACTATGCTGATCAACACTCAAAGAGTCTGCACCTGTCAATCACCATCATTGCTGCCCTGCACATGGTAATGAGGAGCTAACTCATGAGTCCCCCCCCTCACAACATGCTTATGCAGTTTACGGGATCATTTCGTCGGTCAATCCCAGTTTAATCCACTCTTGATCAGCTGAGCTGGACGGAGGCCGATTAGCATTCCACTGAATGAAAGAGCACATTTGATCGAGTGGGAAATGAGAGGGATTTACCCAGAAAACACTGCTTTGTCTCACTGTGCCAGTGTGCTTCGGTCATGTGTTTTAATTGACTAATCACTTCGCCAATTAAATGCCAAAACTCGATAACAATACAAGGATTGTGTTATCACGTTGCAGCGTTGGGGGGGGGAAATCAGGAATACCAGCACAACAACAAACTTATCTTCGGCTCTG